TTAAGACTCTTTTTTTTCTCACAGGCAGTATTTTCATTTTAATGATTTCGTTCCTAAAGGTCTATCTTTAATGTGAATTGATTCAGTGAGTAAGAGAAAAGTCTGCTCTTGATTTCTTATTGTTAGGGTTACTGAGAGATAAATACATGTAATTTAATGTCACATTGTGGAGCTGTATCTAAGGATTTTAATATGAACAGTTGCTTGAAATGCTGTGTTCTTTCATTAATGTTGATTCATTTGAAATATTTGCTTAAATGGGTGTCTCAGAAAGATTTATGTATTCTTTTGATTACTGAAAATCTAGTATTATTAAATTTGATCTTGCTTGTTTTTCAAAGCAGTGAATACTGAAGAGTAGTAGCCCAGCATCTCCCCGGTTCTGATACAAATGTGAGACACGTTGAATTAATTTTTGAGGATAATAAGGAATTCATTTATGTCTAGATCATCAACTGAGGCTCGTCCTGTGCTGTGGTTTGAGCTTTGAGTGAGCTTTGGTGTACAGTTTGCGAGGAGATGGCACTATGCATCATGCCTTTGAGCAGGCACACGCACACACCTGCAGATGAACCAGGAGGTCCAGGACAGAGCTGAATGTACATGTTTAGCACGCTCCATCGTATATTCTGCATTGCTCTTCAGTATGGTCACGCTTGCAGTCAGCTGCAGGTTCCCTGTGAGCATCAGACACCCGGAGAGACAAGGACCATGAGGATGGGAGGTGCATCTGAACACAGGGTACTGGGGAGCACATGCAGGCTCACCTTGCCAGAGCTGCTGGTAGCCCTGGAGCAGCTACCCAAGGTGTCACAGTTCTGTATTCTGACCCACGTATAACTGCAGCCCAGTATAACTATAGCTGAAGAGATCTAGGTGCCTAAATGGTGCTGGTTTAAGAACCCCAATCTGAGTCCCTCTGTTCATTAGTTATAAAGTGGGGATTAGAGCATTCCCTCCTTTGTGGGACACTGGGAAATGAAGAATTTAGAACTGAATTACCTGTTGTGTTGCTGGAGATGTGTAAGAAACAAAAGGAAGCAAATTGTGGAAAGCTGGTTTATAACCAGTGCGTTTACAGCTGTAATTTTGTATGAGGCTCGGAGGCTTTGGGATGTGGAATTTTTTTTCCATCTGATGTTTCTCTTGTGGTTTCTTCTTTTTAAACCAGGTATTGTTCAACAAGGTTTTTTGCTTGGTTTGGGGGATATTTTTTCTTTTTGATAAGGGGAGAAGAAGGTTGCCTTTTTTTGTTTTTACTTGGCTTTATTTTAAATAGTATTTTATTTCAAGAGGGTTATTTTACAATGTTTACAGTGCACTTCAATTTTTTATTGTGTCATGCCCTTCCAGCCCCTTGGTGGGATGAGAGGTGTGTGTATGTATTATATAATTTATAATTAATTTATGATGAATCACGTATGATGAATACTGCTTATTAATTATTAAAGCCTTGTCTACAGTCATGGCCCTACCTTGGCAATAGCACTCCTGCCTGTTCATATGGTACCACTGAGCAGACTTGTAGACTTACAAGTAAGCACTGCTATGACAGCCTATGAGAAGTCTTAGCTCCCTGCCTATGCAAATAGTGTTAAGGAGAATTACTTCTCTTTCTAGGGGAGGTGCCCTGTTACTGCCTTCTCCCTGTCCCTTGTGCACCAGCAGTTGGAGCCGTGAGGAGAGCAGAAACTCTCCAAAACATAGTTGAGAACAGAGAAGGTGCTGATGCTCACTACCCAGCTCCATAGGGACTGCTTTGAGTCCTGGTTCCTTGCTGCCATATCCCTCACTGATAGGAAGCTGAGCAGCATCAGAGGATAGGCTAACAGGATGTAATAGCCTGCATCTGGACAAGTGGAAAATCTAGGCTAGATTTTGACAGGCCATTTTTATCAGTGAGGACTGGAATGTGGACAGGGGAATAATTTACCTGCAGAGGTCATTCCAGCATCTGGAACTAATGAACTCCCAAGCAAAGGCAGTAAAACAGTCAAAAAACAACACACGGGACTGTGCACGGCCAGGTTAGGAGAATGGTCTTACTGAAGGGATTTTTCCAAATTATAGCAATGAATCTGTGAATCAGAAATAGTAGCTGTGACACAGCTCTCCTGACTCCTCAGATCCTCTGAAATCAGGAATCCACATGGTCAACGTTATGAGGAAAAGTAGTGTTCTACCAGCGTTTTGTGCTCTGCTTTGCCTTCCTGGGGACTTTGACCTGTGTGTCCCACCAAAGATAGTGTACAGCGAGGAACAAATGCTGTCAGCGTGTGTGAGGCAACAGAACTTAACTCTGAAATCCTGGCTTTGCTGTACTTACCACCAGCTCAGCAGGCAGGTTTTCCTGTGTGCTTTGAAGAAAATCTTGGTTCTTGAGTAGCTGTTATAGCAGGTGGATTAGCAGGGGCATGAGAGGAAAGGTGAGAATCTCAGTCAGAGAATGGGCGTGCATATTTTCATACAGGGTGCCATGTAAGACCACGTTCGTGCACGTGAAAGCGTGTGCTGTTTTGCCTGCATCATGTGGGAAGTGAGCTAGGAGCAGCAGGCAGAGGGTTCAAGCACTTAAATAAAAAGATGCATCATCTGTGATGAGTGTGCAAAGAATGTAATCCTAAGTGATTCCAATTAGTGCAATGCAAAAGGAAAGCAGCGTAATTAACTTTGGCTTCATGGTCCTTGTACTACATACAGGTTATGAGATGAAACACTGCAAAATCCTTAGGGTACAGATAACAGAAAACTGTGGTTCTTAGGATAGCTGCACCATGCAAAAATAAATATTAAAGGCCTATTTCTTCAGAACTTATTTATTTTCTTGAAAGCTCGAGCTGTGGTAATTGCAATTAAATCTAGTTCTGGTGAATATTTGAGTCCAGTTTTGTTCTTCTCCCAAAGCTTTCATAGGACGATTTAATGATGTGGCAGATTATCAAGAGCTTGTTTTAATATTAATTAAATCACACACAAAGACAAAATTTTCAGCCCTTAAAATTGCATAAATAAAACTGACTTGGAAGATTTGATCTTAAGGGAGTAATGATGTATTCATTGGTATTGAGCCTTTGATCTAATATCACTTGACACATACAGAGGAGATTAAAAAAAACCCATAACAATGTGTAGAAATTACCAAAGGTAAAATTGTGTTTAGTAACATAGCACTGTATTTTGTGTAGGAGGAACTCATACTGAAGCAAACCTCTCTTTGGTCTTAGGGACAGCAACAGCACAAGGCTTGTCATGTGTTTGAAAGAAGCAGTTTTCACTGACTCTCATGCATCTAGCTGCATTTCTTTCTTTTCAAGTAACTCGGATGAGTAAATTGCACAGTAAAAAGTAAATGACTGGTCTCTTTTTGCACATTGTTAGGCAGTTGTTGGACTCCTCACTGGTTATGGTGGGTCATCTTATCATTATTAAAGGGCAGTGGTCATTAAAATGCCAAACATATTTGTATAGAATTCACTTTATGAAATGTCAGCAAGTCTGTATGTTTTTATTAGTTCCAAATCAAGTATTTCAATGGACTCTTTGTAAGTATTCCCAAAGCAATGTCCATTTCTGGCTTTTTGAGAGCACACAAAAATATTACAAATTAATCAGATTTTCAGGTTTCTGCATAACAACTCTGCACATTTATTGTTTAATCCTATTCTAAAATGCTGTTATGATTGACACCTTGGTGTAGAGTAGAAGTCAATTGAATAATATGTAGCAGTCAATTTTATTTGTACCTTAATGTGCTGAAGGTTTTTTGGTGGGTTTTTTTTTCCACATTTCCATTATTTATAAGTCTGTCCCCTTGGAGAATATCTAGAAGAATTTGTTTTAAATGAGCTGATAATACCCTCTTTAAAATTTATAAGTATGACAGAATCATATTCTTTTTTCTTACTATGCCAGAATGTGCCAATAAACTGGGTCTGAATTACCTTGCACTTGCTTTTCATGGGATAAACATTGGAAAAGAGCATCTCATTAAGGTTTACTTAAAACAGAATCTCAACAGCTCATCAGAAACCACTAACAAAACAGGAGCTATCGTACCAACCAGGAAACCCGATGCCATTGCCAGGGTTTTCTTTCCAAGAGACCACACTACTCTTGCAGCTTCTTTTGATACTTGCTGTCATTCTTCCAGCTTCAAAGATAAATGTGGGCCTGATCGTGGCTGAAAAACTTGTGAATCGATGCAAGTCCTTCACCCGGAGGAAATGGAGGATTGGGACATGGTTTTGAAAGCATCTTGGTGCTTTCTCGCACCTGATAGGACCTTTTCCTTTCTCTTTTTCCTTCTCTTTTTCCTTTCCAAATCCGTATTGCAGACTTCAGCAAAATCTGGTAGGGCTGGACTGTGTTCTGTGCTTAGCAAGTCATTAGTGCCAGCATATAGTTCGATTGTTGGATATTGATCACCTCAGTAAACGCTGGAAATCCTTGGTTTCACAGAATTTTGCTTGCCCCCCACATGCAGTTTAGCAAACAAGCTGTCATTTGGAAGCATACCTGGTTTCAGTTTTCATAGTGCCTTTTTAATGCACTTTGTACAGCCTTTGCTGCCTCAGTAACTGCCAAAGAAAAGACTCTATTAAGATACAAAGTAGATGTGACTTGATTGTTTTTCCAGATAATTTTTGCTTTCAGAAATTAGAATGGCTGATGCTCACCTAAGCGTAAAAAATGCAGTTCCCACACGCGCAGAGTGCTCATGTACTGTATGTAAATTGATGTATAATGCAACCCACATTAGCTGGGTTGATGATAGCTTCAGTTTCACTGCTGTCAGATTTTTGTAGCTCCTTGAATGAGTTGGCTGGTCTGAATGAATGTTAGCATAATTTATGCAGCTGATAAGTGATTTGAGTGCTTGAGTTATTGATAAAGCACTTTAAGATATCATTTTCAGCTTGATGTTATGTGACATCAGAGTAGAAGGTAATGTGGCAGTCCCCAGGCTTGATATTAAAGTCAGTCTGCTCTTTGGATTTCAGAGGCCAGAGGAAACACAGTGCTGCCTGACACGAGCCCAGCAGACCAGCACCAGCCCAGTCAGTCCCATCCTGCATTCCCTGTTGGGCCTCAGGTCAGTATCTTTCATTTCAACTAATCGAGACCTGCAATATGATGAAAAGTAAATAACTGCAATTGTTCATCTTTGATCTGTGCAGTGTAGGGAAGGTGATTCTGTTTGGATTCATTTAGTGTTAAAAAAAGGGAGCATGTATGTATCGTCTGTGTTTTTAAAGTTACTTGTTTGGAGAGATCAGCTCTTTGTATCTTTTTTCAAAATAAAACTTTAGCAGTTTTTCATATTTAGGAGGTAAAATTATTTCAATTTCCTATATAAGTTATTTTTTAAATACATGTCATAATTTAATATTAAAAAGCTTGTGCAATTTTAATGCAACCTATTGGCTCTGACAGTTCTGTCACACACAGCTCCTGCATTAAAAAAGGCATTTCATTATCTTTTATGCCAGCTATTTATTTTCTTTACAGCAAAACATAGGTATAATAGTATGGCACTCTATAACATTTTAAAACATTTCCTTTATCACTTCACAATTTTATCCAAGTTCAGCCATACTGTAAAGGAATACTCAATGTTCTTGCACTTCACAGGACAGCTTTGGTCCACATAGCTTCTGGTAATTGTTACTATCAATATACAGTTGGGAAAATTTGGGAAATGTTTGCATTTAGGTACTTGTAAGGCTTTCTTGTGTTCAGAAATTATCTTCAGTGCATGTGTAATGAATTTACCAGTCCAGATTCAACCAGGATTGCTCCCATGCTACATGACTGTAAGGTTTACAGCTTCAGCCTGTCAGGTTTGTCAAAACTTTCTGTGTGTACCTGAAGATACTGGAAGCAGTGTATATCTATAATGGAACACCAAATGATCCCAAGCCAGAAGAGTTATAGGTGTGTAATACCAAGCTATGCACAACAAAATAGGCTTGCTATGTGTGTTTTGTTACAGCCACTCCTGACAGCCCAACAGTTAGCCTCAGCAGTAGCGGGGGTGATGCCAGGAGGCACTCCAGCCCTGAATCAGCCGATCCTTATTCCTTTCAACATGGCTGGGCAGCTGGGAGGCCAACAAGGGCTCGTCCTAACTCTGCCTACCGCGAATCTCACCAATATCCAAGGGCTGGTAGCAGCAGCTGCAGCAGGAGGCATTATGACTTTGCCATTGCAAAATCTACAAGGTAAGGCATGTTTGTCATTTCTAATAGGTTCTTTTGCCTGTTTGTTTCACCGAATCTCTGTCTTTTAAACCAAGCAGTCTCTTTTTGCAATGAAATGTTGCCCTTGATGAGTATTTGAAGTTAATACTTGGATTGTTTTTGAATACTTGAGAGATGTTTGTATTTTTATAAACAAAGATTGGAGGTTGGGTCTTGGATTCCACAGATCAGTAAAGTGCTTGAATGATTCATTAGGCTTTTCTGTCATCAGTGATCAGTGTTCCCTACTCACAGTTTACTTTAAAATTTCAAATGACAGCATGAAGACAAGTACTCTGTTTCACCACTGCTGATTAGGGTAGCTAAATGAATAGGAGCAACTCAAACCACAGTATTGCATGAAAATCACTTACCCCCCCCCCCCTTTTATTTTGAAATCAGTGTTTTCTCAGCTCCCATCAGTGCTCTGGATATGTATTCTCTTTCTTGCTGTGGGACGGCTGCTTTATCAGTAAGATTCTGCCATCCCCATCCAAGCTGTTGAGGGAGAGTTATATGACTCCAAAGTCACAAGCAACAATTTCATCTCTGTATGTACCCTCCCCATTGTCTGAGCTATACCATGTTTGCAACAGTTCTACCCTATGATGTCTCTGCATTCTCCCTGTGGTCTAAAATCAGGCTGAAAAGCTGTTCTGCAAGATCCCTGTTCTTCCCTAGTATTTTCTGCTGTTCAGTGTGTCTAGCATTGTTAGAAACAGTACTTAATCCAAACACATATGGGGTAAAATATAGATGTATTTATTTACTACTCTGGACTATGTTGACTGGATGTTTTTATTTGCTACTCTGAATTACGTTGATTGCTTCTCAAATGTAGTAAGGCAAGTCTTAGTCAGTATCTTACAATAGAACAATACAGCTTTAATGGAAGAGGATGGTAAGGAAGTGATTGACCAGTGTGAAGGTGATCAAGGTGTGAGCAGGAAGTACCAAAATAAAGCTTTAGCCCTTTCAATTTATTTATTTATTATTGTTTCTTGTGATGTAAATGGTAAAAAAAGTCTTCCTCGAATGGAATGAAAGCTCTGTGCTGTGCCCTATGTACTTTTGAGTTCTTAAACTCTGGTGGATTCTCATTACCAGATGAATTGTTTGAAGCACCTAATCCTACAGGTCGTGAAACAGGGAAAAGGAAGAGACAGCTCATGTGTTGAACAAACTCCCTTACAAACTGCATGCATAGTACTCTCACCTGTTGGTGCAACTACTTGCCTTTACCTTGTGCATGTTTTAAAGTTTAATGTCAACAGACCTCTCTTATCATAGTTGTAAATGGTTTTCACTTTAATGTTTAAAATAATGTCTCTTTCATACCATTAAGCTGCACCGAAGAACCTGTCATTCATAAATCTTAGATGAAAAGGACACACTAATGCACAAATTTTGCTTGTTTAAAATTTGAGAGTGCATGTAAAGTAGGGAACTAGAGATTAAAAAAATAATGCAGGAACAGGAGCGGGTAAAAGCAGATATAACAAAGTGAAGGGGAAGTGGCTTTTTAGCGTAGGTGGATGATGAAATCTTAATGAAGAAACAGGCATTATAAAAATGTATCCTTCCACTCTGGAGTGCTCCAGGTTATAGTTGCTGGGTATGTAGTATTATAAATAAACATAAGCTCGTGCAGTTCTTACGTCATTTATTCACCTCGTGTTGTGAAGCTGGAGGGTAGGGATTAAGGCAGGTAACCTTTGCTCTTTAGTTTAGCCATGGGTGTCTAATTGCTAGCTAAAAGGTGTAACTCTGCTGCCAAATAAATTTTGCAAGCAATGACCTTACCGGATGAAAAGGTTTCCTCCATAATCTTTACTGGTAGATGAAAGCATGGGATCAAATAGGGACTTGCTGGAGCATCAGGTGCAGTTCCCTGTATATAGATGCAGTCACAGAACCCAACACACTTAGTTGTGTTGCTTTTTATCATCTTATCTACCCTTCCCTCTGGACCCTCTAAGCAAATGCCACTGCCCTCATTGTTTGGAAGCGAAACTGATACACAGGGAAGTGAAGTAACTTGGTCAAGACAGCTCTTAGGAGCCCTGAATAACAGTTGTAAGCTCCTGTTGCTTCCACTTCGCAATGCGTGTGTGAATGAAGGTGGGAGTCAGCTGAGAGTGCTGTGTTTCTAGAGAACATCTCTAGCTGTGTGGTGTCATCAGTTCAATTGAACCTGATTGACTTCTGTTCCCTGTTTGTTGTGGATAGTTGAAAGATAATTACAGAATGCATGTTTTGTTTTGTATCCAGCACTTCTATAGGTATACTCCTAGGAGACCTTGCTTCAACACCGTTTTGGTAATTCGGCCCTTTGAGTGAAATCAGACCACATTCATCAACTTCCATCTCTCTAACACCTCACTGTGGCATGGTCAGACTGGACAAACGGGCAACACGCTTTTATGCAGTTTTCTAACCTGTCTTATTACTCCTGTTGTCACGTCTCCTGTCCCTGAATTTCCAGCACAGTGAAGCATAGATGTCCACAGCTCCTGTGAGCTGGGCCTTCTCCTGTCTTCTTTTTCTTCTCTTCACCAGTCAACTTCTAAATCTCTTCACCACAAACTCCCCCAGCTGGGTAACTCAAAAGACTGATATATGAATTCAGAAAAAGTTATGATTTACTTGAATTCATACTAAACACGGATCAAGGCAGTAATCCCACCATATTTGTGTGACCCACATCTGTGTTTAACTGATTTTCTTCTTGGGGGCTTTCAGGTCTGGTTCAGGGTGATAAGTATGAGACCTCGGGGTGACTGGATAAAGCAATGAAAACCCTTGCTTGTGGAAAGAAAAGAGCATTCAGCGATAGGAATCATCGAGGAGATCTGTTAAGTCTTTAAAGTGAGAAAACAAGAGTTTCTTTAAAAATTCAAGACACTGGTAAAATGGAGTGATTAATGATATGGAAATTACACAATAAGTGTAACTTATTCAGTGAAATTACCTATTCTGCAGTTGTCAGTTTATTATAAGTAAGATTTCAGCTTTTTTCCAAATCTATTTGTGTAAAATTGTTCAGTTGCTGTATGGTCCTGATCCACCACTAAGCCAACAGGAATTCTGTTGTTGTAAGTGAAAAGAGGTTTAAACTAAGCCTCTTTCAAAACTGCTTTTCTTGGTACATACTTGATTATTTTCTGTTCATTACACTATGTCATTTGCTATATATATTGCTATACAATGTCTGTTCCCTGAGCAAAAAAAAACGTGTGAACACACGGCAAGAATGTGAATGTGTAAATTCCTGCTGTGAAACTTAGGGAAATATGTTTACCCTGGCTCCTATTAAGCAAATTTCATATGCAGATAGTACAACTTACTGAGATACCAGAGGTGTGGTGGCAAAACAAAGACATCCACTTTAAACAAAAATCCCTGAACATGACACAGATTCACCTATGGAACTTTGGCTTTCCACCAACAGTTCCTTGAAGAAAACAGTAAAATCGTCAACTAAAACTTTTTACTGTAATCCACTAAAAATACTGAAGCTAAAAGCTTAAAAACAGTGCAGGAAAGCTTTTGTCCAAAAAAGATTTGCACATCTTCCTTTCACCAAATCTTAGACTTGGAACACAGTCGTGCTCTCCTAACCAGCAAAACTTTTGGAGGAGTCAGTACCGATGGTGAGGTTGTAACAACAAGCAAGGCAGGCAACCTTCAGACAATGTGTTGTCTTTTGCTTTTAATCCGCTACTTCTTGGCCTGTACTCATTGACTTCATGCAGAAAACACTGACAGCTTTCCTCTTAGCATCCAAACTGGTGTTCATCAGTATTCAGCTTTCCACCTTTGGGAATCTTTTCTCTGGGCTGAACAGGTTCAGCTTCTGCATCCCATTTGCCAGGTCAGGTTTCTCTAAGTTCTAACACTTCTTCTGTAAGTGTTTTCCTTTTTCAGTTTTATCTATCCTTGTCAAGAGTTTTTCCAAGGAACTTGTAGTTGCTTAATCTCAAAGTATTCAGTAATGCCTGGGAGCTGATATTCATTGAAAGACATTCTATTTGTAAGTCCACCTGATTTTTATGTTTCAATGTAATATTTCTGCATATCTGAACAGGAAGAGACCTTTTGGGGGGCTGAGTTTGTTTTCTCTTTCTTTCTTAATGTAATTTTTAACCCACATTGAAGTCACTGGTAAATGGGAATGTATTCAGTCCTGAGGAGTTGCTGAAACCTGTCCTCTCCTTTTGTTCACTTTTCTGGGACAGCCAAAGCAGTTTTAGCTAAAACATTAAGGTATTTTAGCTATACTTTTAGTATGGAGTGCACGTTTGAAATGAGAAGAAACTAACCCAGTGTTGCCTGTCAGCTCACTCCTAGCTACTTGTGCCCTATGGAGGACAATGGGGGAGTCTCTGTAAAGGATTCCCCCGAATATATTACATTACATAGCAATGGCACAACAGTGTTTTAGGTAATATATCCACCAATACAGAGCTAGAATGACACTTGAACCTTGAAAGAAATCAACAAGTTGGAAGTTCTGGCCTCACAGCACTGAATCTTTGTATGTTTCGTTTCCACTGAGCATTGTACTGTTCCTAGAGTGGATGCCAGTAATTTATTTCCAAGTCAGAGTTTCTTAGTCTGGAGTTCTCAAAGAAATGAGACCGAACTATCTCCCCAGATCATTAGTGAAAGGCTTCACTGCTGAAAGGAAGCTTTGCATGGCTAAAAAACGTAAAATCATTAAATTACATTACTTAAACAGCGACAGGTCATATTTTAGCTGCAGTACAATGAAAGCGGAGATGTATTAAGCATCTTGAAAACTAGGAGACAGCCATTAAAATGTACTGATATGGGTAGCAATAGACATAGATGATGGTAAAAAATTAAGAAGGCTTTCATATGTGGAGATCAGTCAAAATGCATGTTAAGTAAAGATGATGGTAACAAAAAGCAAAGGTGTTGTTTACACTTATTAAATCTTGTTTCATCTGAGCATAGGT